CGGCCCTCGGCCTCGAGTCGCCTGCTCTCGGCCAGGCGTGCTGCGGCTGCCACGTCAGCATCGACACTTTCATCTTTCGCTAATGATGAAGATGAAGGTGAGGAGGTGGCAGCAGTCTGGTCGAAGACTGGGCGGCCCGTAGAAGCTACCACCACCTTCTTCTTGGCTGAGAAGAGTGGTTTCTGTTGGGCAGATGGCCTCCATCGTAGCCCGGCGAACGTAGATGACGAAGATGTAGTGGTTGGCACTGACGATGCCCTGTCCTCCGCAGGCTCCAACGTCGAAGAAGAAGCGGCAGCCGTACTCTCCTCTCCCCGGCCCTGCTCCATCATCTGATGCAGAACAGCACCTTTTCTTTTTCTTTTTCTTTTTCTTTTTGAGCCCAGAAAAAGAAAGAAAAAGTCCGAAAATAATAAAAATTCATTATTTCGCTAATAATTGATTACGATTTTCTTTTTCACCTGAAACTAAATACGAAACAAAAGAAGAACAGTGTTGGCACAGGTGTGTATTGAAAACAAGTGTTTAGGAGTTGCAATGGTTGGGAATGGTTTTGGGGAGAGGGATCAAGCAGTCTTGGCGCGTTCCCAGGGGGCGCATGAGGATGAGGCCCATTCATTGATCGTCGATCACCACCTTGGCCATGGTCATCTCCGAGGACTATCACCACGGTACATTCCCAAGTGAGTGCCCCGTGTGTGCGTGTGTGATGGGGCGAATGGTACCTGGTAGTTGTCGTGGACGACGAGGCTGACGTCGTACTCGCCTGCCTGAGCGAACGTGTGCTCCGGTGAGGCCTGAGTCTGGCCCACGGTGTTGTCGCCAAAGATCCACAGGTATTCCACCATCCACCCATCCGGATCGTACGAGCCCGTACTGTCGAACTTGACCGGTACGTTCGCGTAGCCCTGCACGACACACACGCAACACACACACACACACACGCAACACACACACACGCAACACACAAATTGTGAGCGGCATCTGGTGTAGTTGAGCGCAATACCAGAGGAGAACGCACCTGATAGGGACCATTGATGGTGGCCAGCGGGGCTGCGTTGATCTGCTCGGTCTGCACGGTGAACACGAGGCTCGTGCCGCTCGGGATGGGCGGGCTGGCGTGGTAGGAGTAGCGAATGCTGTCCGACGGCAGCACGGCGCCCAGACCCACCGTGGCACTGCCGCCGTTGTCGGTCTCCGACGAGGTGTCCGTATCCCTAAGTGTGTGACGTGTGTTGTGTGTCGTGTGTGCGGTGTGTCGTGTGTCGTGTGTCGTGTGTGTGTGTGTGTGCGTGTGCGTGTGCGTGTGCGTGTGCGCGCGTGTGTGTGCGCGTGTGTGTGTCGTGTCATTGGACAGAATTCAAAGCAAGGATGCGGCGCGGGGACGTACGGGTAGAACATGGAGATCTTGCCGCCGTTCTCGTGCAGCTGCACTTGGAAGGTGACCGCGTCGTCGGAGCTGCCGTAGTGGCACACCTGGTACCACGTCACGATCAGCCTGCGCGAGCCCGCGGAGCCCTTGATCGCGTAGTAGATGCGCCCGCATTGCGTTGGGTCGTGGTCGTCCCACAGCACGCAGATGCCCTGATGATGATTAATGCAATATGTCGTGAGTAAATTGCTCTGCATTCACTGGATTCCTGATCAGCTGATGGGCGTGTGGGCCGACACGTACGTTGGGGAAGGGGAGATTGGGCGTGTTCTCTTCGTGCGCGGTAGGGGCGCCCGAGGCCTCTTGCCACGACAGGAAGCCGTTGGAGTTGACCCACACCTCACTTGCCACCCGTCGCACATAAATATCAGCCGTTTGGCCAAGAAAGAGACGTCATTGTCGTTAAGAGCGTTGGGGGTCACGGACCTGTATGACTTACAGAAGTAGGGGAAGCTCCAGGGCAGGTCGATCGAGAAGGAGCCGTCGTCGGAGGGGTCGGCCGCCGTGTGGCCGTTGGTGGTCGGGTCCTCATAGGCGTAGTTGGAGCCCGAGGTATCGGTCGCGTAGCGGGGCTTAGGGTAGCATGGCTGCTCGACCTGCACAGATTCGATTCGAATCCACACGCACGCACGGCCGTTTCATTGAGTTGTGCCCGGATTGAGGCGAGGCGGGGAAATATTGGGGGAGGCGACCGTACGGTGAAGCTGACGTTGAAGGCGTTGTTGGAGTAGTCCAGCTCTTCGAAGAGATGATCCACGTTCAGGTCGATGTTCATGTAATAGTCGCCTGCGACGCGCATATGTATATGTATTGTGAGACCCACATATCATGCATTCATATGATGAGCACGAAACGCGCAACACGCACCAGGGGAGAGGTTGGTGATGTCAATCCACTGGCAATCGAGATCCTTGTGGTACACGTCCTGTTTGTATCAATAATACAAAGAAATTAAAGCCAATTGCACGTTCTACACCCGCCCACGCCACCTACGCACCAGCCATCCGACGCTGATGCCCTGGTTGCTGCACGAGTACTGCGCAGAGTCGCGCACAGGACCGGGGCCTGTGTACCCCGAGTCTTGCTCAGAGTCCAAGAGACAGTAGGCCATCTTCCTGCCCCTGCCCACCTGCATTGCGGAGAGAATGCAAACATGTGCTTAGTGGGCGTCGATCGACAAGAGTGGAAGAGTGGGATACCTGTGTTCCGCTGTCGTCGTAGATCAAGTACCGAGCATAGCCCTCGTAGTGATAATGCCTACGTGATGGAAAAAAAGGCAGAATAATGTCCTTATTTAATCAATAGGGCACCACACAGTCGAGGGCCAACGTACCGGTGGCAGCTGTCATAGTGGAACCTGGGGTCGCCACTGGGATCGCCCAGCACCAGATCGGCCGTGCCGCGGTTGGGCGTTGCTGAATGACGAACAAAAAGACAGGGCCACACGTTGTTAGCGAACGCTAACTACCGCACACGCAACGCAAGCATACCCGTGTCGAACCGGAGCAGTGTGCGCGGGCCGGTACCCTCGACGCAACCCTCGTTAACCGCACTACGGCCCACTCCGTGAGTTACTGATGAAGAATGAAGAATGAAGAATGATGATGATGGAGACGAGCGCAAAGGCGCGCACACGTACCAAGAGGCGGAATCGAAGGTGCGCGTGATGATCTCCATGGACCGCTGCAGCCGATCAGCGTCAAGGGTGATGTCGGGCAGAAGCCTGCCACCGGGGTCTGACTGGGTCGGAACGCACGACGAATAGGCCGAGCAGTCTAGACAGCCACGCATGTACGCACGCACGTGGTGAGTGCCGGCTGCGTGCTGGACGTTCAGAGCAGGAGGGTGCTGTGGGAACCTACCGGCGGAGGAGCAGCCGTAGGTGCGGAACTGCGGCGACTCGCCGAAGCCGGCCGCATGCCCGTTCCCGCTCTCATCATCCACCCAATTGCCGCTCTGCATGCAGTGCACGATGAGGAATTGAAATGGAAGAGGGTGGCGGGCGAGAGAAGGGGGAAGGGAGATACGACGAACCTGGGCCATGCGCCAGGAGACCACCAGGTTGGAGGCTTGCCTGATGGGCACCTTCCACGTCTGTGAGATCTGCGAGGCTGACCGCGCAACGCTCCACAAGCGCACCTCGGCGATCTGCCCCACGAATCTGATGTCTTCGTTGTCGTCTGCAGAGCGCAAAAGAAGAAGAAGTGTTCATCATGAAGAGGGTGAGACTTAGTGCTCGCAGGGTACAAGCGTGGCCACGGTATGTCGTGTGTACCGACAAAGCGGCCGATCATGAAGTTCCGCTGGCGACTGTAGTTCACCTGACGAGCTCCACCACCTCGTGTGGCCACCTGCTCCATCCCCAATCAGCACACACGCGTTCGATAGCAGGCGTTCGAGGGGGGGGGAGAACGCACTGCGCCGTTGATGTAGAGGGCGGCCTGGCCGGAGGCGGCGTCATAGGTGCCCGCCACATGGGTCCACCGGTTGAGGGGCGCCGAGCCGGTGAAGGTGTAGTCGAACGGTGCGCGATGGAGGAACACCACAAGCCCGCCAGACAGCAACTGTGCAGCCCGCCCAACAAGCAAGGGGGCGTGGGTGAGGGGAAAATCGTGCAAATCAATTTTCGAGATGAAATGAAAATGCAGTCGTCGCTACGAGAGAGTGAGATGCGAACGTACTTGAAAGCCAATGCCAGACTCGGTGGCGCCGCTGTCCCACAGATTGCCAAAGACGCCTACCCAGTCCGAGCCCTCAGTGGGGTTGATCCAGCCCTGTGTTTCAAGTTGTCGACACAGTTAGAATGTCTGTCTACACTCCAGGTGGCGGTGAGGGTACCTCGAGAGTGTAGGTCTGAGGGACGTTCCAGGCCGAGGGTGGTCCAGCGTCAAGCCAGTTGCTGCCATCCAGAAGAACGGCGTTTCCAGAGCAGCCTGATTGACGGTTTACGATCATAATCACATGAGGAGCCAGTGTGCAACCGGGAGTGGTGCATCGTACTCTGCGAGCGGGCGCATGGCGCTATCAGAGCAAGCAAGAGCGCTGCGCTGAGACCGACCAGGTGGTGGTAGCGCATAGTAGTGGTGACGGCCAATTGTGAGGCCTGTTGCGAGTGGGTTTGGCCGGTGTGAGCTGAGATGAAGAAGATGTTATGGTCCTGCCTTTTGTAGGCTGCTTGCGGGCTCTCCTGCTCCCTGTAGGCGTGCACCATGTTCGAAATCAGGGCTTTGGAGATTTCCTAGACCCGGCGCATCCAACAATGAGAGGCGCCCCTCTCCAGAGGGAAATGGTTCACTTGTGAGCCAGGGCACCCAACGTCTTCATGGCCACTCCAGTTCGCATCACAAAACACAGTTGGCCAATCTGGTCTGGGCTTACCCCTCTTTCGCCTCACAGAGACGAGTACAGGTGAACCTTTGTGCTGGGGCGACCTCTGTGATTGGCGACTTGTGCTTCTCCTTTAAAATCTTAGTTGAATCACTAAATGAGATAGACAATATTATGGTGTATGATGTTGAGATGTAGAGTGCTGGGAGTTGGGGTGGTGTAGGTGGAGTGCTCGGTAATTACATGGCTCAGAGGCTGCAGATCGGTGCATCGTGGCCCGCACGGCAGCAAGGGGCTCATTCGTCCTCGATCACCGCCTTGGTCAAGACCATTTTCGACCCCTGCCAGTGGCACCCAAGGTGGTAAGCCCCAAGAGTAGAGGGTAGAGGGCGACCGTATGAATGGTACCTGGAAGTTGTCGTAGACGACGAGGCTGACGTCGTACTCGCCCGCCTGCGCGAACGTGTGCTCCGGGAAAGCCGTCGTTTGGCCCACAGTGTTGTCGCCAAAGATCCAAAGATACTCCAACATCCGGCTGTCCGGGTCCTTCGAGCCCCTGCTGTCGAACTTGATCGGCTCGTTCACGGTGCCCTGCGCCCCGCACGCGTTTCAGATGTGTGTGGCCAACGGCGCAAAAAAAGAAATATTAAATAATCAGTAAAATAGGGTAACGCACCTGATAGGGTCCGTTGATGGAGGCCAGCGGGGCTGCGTTGATCTGCTCGGTCTGCACGGTGAACACGACGCTGGCACCATTCCTGACGGGCGGACTGGCGTGGTAGGAGTAGAGAATGCTGTCCGACGGAAGGATGGCACCCAGACCCACCGTGGCGCTGGCGCCGTTGGTGTAGGCCGATGTCGTGGTGGCCGTATCCCTGTGCATGCGGTGGAGTGCCAATCATCACTATAAGCATCATGGTTGGGTACAAACGCCTAACGGTGCGAGATGGCGCGGGCGGCGTACGGGTAGAACATGGAGATCTTGCCGCTGCCTTCTTGCAGCTGCACTTGGAAGGTGACCACGTCGTTGGTGGCACCACCGTAGTGGCACACCTGGTACCACGTCACGATCAGCCTGCGCGAGCCCGCGGTGCCCTTGATCGTGTAGTAGACGCGCCCGCATCGGGTCGGGTCGTGGTCGTCCCACAGCACGCTAATCGCCTGATGATGACGATTGAGGCCACATACAAAATGATGTGAGTCCAAAATGTTCTCCACGTCCGACGGCATGAAAGGCAGGTGTCTGGTACGTTGGGGAATGGAAGGTTGGGCGTGTTTTCTTCGTGCGCGGTGGGGCCGCCCGAGGCCTCTTGCCACGACAGGAAACCGTTGGAGTTGACCCACACTTGACTGTAATCGCACAATCATCAGACGTTAACCACGACACACGACACACGACACACGACACACGACACACGACACACGACACACGACACACGACACACGACACACGACACACGACACACGACACACGACACACGACACACGACACACGAACCACACAGCGAGGGGGGTACGCACGAGTAGGACTTGCAGAAGTACTGGAAGCTCCAGGGCAGGTTGATTGCAAAGGAGCCGTCGTCGGTGCGGGTGGCCGCGGTGTGACCGTTGGTTGTCGGGTTCTCGTAGGCGTAGTTAGCGGCCGTGGTGTCCGTAGCGTAGCGGGGCTTGGGCAAGCATGGCTGCTCGACCTGTACCGAGCAGTACGCGTGTGAATGCACGCCATCACCAGAAAAATAGCGGGGCGGGTTATGCTTGCGGCCAAAGGTGGAAAGGGACGGTACAGAGAAGGTGACGTTGAAGGCGTTGTTGGAGTAGTCCAGCTCTTCGAAGAGCCGGTCTACGTTCAGCTCGATGTTCATATAATAGTCGCCTGCAAGCACGCATAAGTTTGAACCCCCAATCAAAATTGGCATGAAGAGCAACACGCACCACTGGGTAGGTTGGTGATGTCGATCCACTGGCAATCGAGATTCTTGTGGTACACATCCTGTGTGCGGAGCAAGTATAGAGGGATCGGATCGTTGTAAAACTGACAGTTCAACAAGATCCACCAAACCTC